TTCACCTGTAGTTGCTCCCTTAGAATCCCTTGCAATATTATAGACATTGTAGGAGAAAAACTCTGTTGGTATCAAAAAATCAGAAGGAATCTACTAGCATCTGTTCAGACTAACACATTTTATTAAAAGGCCTTTCAGTTAAATGTTATAGTTGAAAAGGTGCTACCAGACTCCTGATTTTTACAATATTATGGAGACTGTTGCATGATCCATATTCTGACTTCTCCCAGTATGGGCTTGCTTTGGATCTTCACAATGGTATATGGTATAGCCCAGAATATCTCATAGACTCCCCATTTAAATTCCATGAATGTTTTTGAAGCTTCAAGGTGTTTCCAAAGAAACACTCCTAAATATTAGTTTTATAGGGAATACAATACCTGTAACTGTTTATTTAAAAAGGAGGAAGGGAAATAAGAATATTGGAATAAAACTGTTTTCATATGATTTATTTTCTCTTACATTTAATGCACCAATTATAAATAATAGGATATGCAAGCTTACATATTTTGTCTATGTCTGGAATGAGATTTGTTTTAAAAAAAGTCTTAAGAGTTAGCATAACGTTCTTGATGTGCGGCCTTGATTGTAGTCAGTGCTGAAAATTCACTTTTCACGAAGACACCCTGAAGGCAAAGGTAGCATGCTCTTTGATGCTTTTGAGGATGTTTGCAGAACCCAGTTTAAGAAATACGGGTTTATGCGGTTATCCTGAAGGCTATGATTTGCCTCACTCCTAGCTGAGAACCATCGAGGAGAAAAAGGCCGTTGCTCCCTAAAACAGACATTACAGAACTCCTCCTTGTGTAAGGTCTCTTTTCAGCCTTTCTCACTCTTTTTCAGGAAAAATGAAAAATATCCTGGTTTTACAATGCCCTTAAGTGAGGGGGGCTGGCTGCGAATATGCTCTATGGTTGTGGTTTATTTCTTACTGCTGGCGAGTATTTTGATTTTACAGTATTACTGGATTTATATTAAACCCAGTGAGGTTTTGGAGCAGTTAACCAGTCTGGGTTCCCACTTTTAAAAACAGTGGGCTAGATCAGCGTTTTTCAAACTTGGCATGCTGGCTGGGGAATTCTGAGAGTTGAAGCCCACACACCTGAAAGCCGCCA